TAACTTCAAATGAGCTATATGCCTACTGCCGACGGGTGCTCGGCCAACGGGTGCCAAGGATGGTTACTATGGTGACCAATGATTTGAAATAGTGTGGACATAAACTTTTCAAAATATATATGCATTGTTTAATGCAAAAAAAACATCAACTAAGATCGTCTTTCAAAATGAAAGAAATATTAAGTGTTGGTTATTATTAGATACCATTCAATCCCTATGTATTTACATATTATTTTCATAATCATGGGATTGGGCCTGGTTTCATGTTTGCTTTTTGTGGGCATTTATGATGACTCACTCGCAGTGTTTCATTATCAATGGGCCTGTTTTCATTATTTGTTTTGGTGGGTGTTTAATGTTTATGATGTTTCATAATCATTTGTTGTTTATAATCTATTTCCTTTGTTTTGGTGGCTTCCTGGTTCCTCTTGTTATTTTTAAGTCGGTGTATAAACAATATGGTTCTTCAGTTTTCTATTTTACTGTATGTGACAAGACAAATACATTTAAACAGCTAATTATAATACAAGATAGTACAACAAACAAAACTTAAAATGTATTTCCAATACCTCAAATACTTTTTCAAGGAGTCCTTTTCAATGTGACCCTCTCAATTTCTGGGAAAGCATAATGTGGCTTCTAAAATTGCTAAACTGCAATTGAAAGTCCTGTATCGGTGACACTTCCACAACGAACCAATTCATTTCCAACTGGCAGTGTAAGGTTCACATGACTACACATTTGTACAATAGTGCCAGTGTTACTACCTGAGAATGGCCTGGATTTTGCGGGCCATGTGTTTGAGGTGTGGCCTGGACGTGTAGTAGCCACTCCAGTACTGGTCAGCACGGTCAGTATAGGTGAAGAAGTCTCCAGCCAGTGTCGGGATCTGTAGTGCTTCAGTGGCTGTGGATTTCTTGGCCAATGCAGTAAAATAATCACTCAGTGTTCCAAATCTTATCTGGAAAATAAGAAGGAAACATTACTGTGACTATAAATTAAAGGGGCAGAATAAAATTTAATATGATTGGAAATAAAGAGGCAGAGAGAGTTATGTATGTTCCATCTTTAACCCAGTACCCTGCTTACAGGGCGATGTCTGTGAAAATGAGCAGACTTAATTCAGCGGGTTAACAGGGTATCTTTTTCATAAACCAAGACGCTGATTTGACTGTTGCCATATGAAATTTTAACCGTGAAATATTCAGTATTCCTCATAGACCATGAGCAGACATCATCAGTCGGTAGAATGAATATCTCTAATTTTGAAATGATGATTAAGGGTATTTTGAGGGCATATTCCACCATAATGCTGTTTCCACAATGTCATATATATATACATCTAACTACGTACATTTGTATTTTTCATATCTTAAGGTAAATACAACAATATTCTATGATTTCCAATTTTATTTTGTTTCATTTCTACATCATCATCACCTATCTGATGGTTGAGAAAACTGGCCCACCTTTAGTTTATGGAGGATATGCTTATAACTTTAAACCCAGGGAAGCCCACAACAAGATGCTCATCATTCTCATTGTACACTGTTGCATTCCATGCTGTGCTTGGTTGGTGTACACATGTTACCTTTGTGTTCATGCGTGGGTTTGTGTTGATGAAATTCATGAGCTTGGTGAGGTTACCCAACTGCCTATCCCATTCTGTAGAGTATCTGTAGTGGAAGTCATCCCCATGTGGTACCAGTAGAACCCCATGCTGGTATAACTCAGCCTTCTTCTGAAACTGTTCCCACAGTTCCTCAGCCCTTAAAAACACGTGACATATCTCTTACAGTGACAATTTATCACACCAAATCTCTTACATGGAGACAAATGTGAAATTCTCTTACACATTCATAAGGAAAATCTCTTACATAAGGCGAAACATAATAAAAAGATATATTTTTTTTTAACCATGGGGGAATGCAATACAGGAATTCTTGTACACAGAGACAAATGCAACACATGTTACACATCAATTTCTATAATGGGGAGTGCTATGAGGAACAATTTAATCATCTTGTTACAATTCACCCCATGTTATTGATAAATCTCAATACATAAGTGGTGTAAAATCTCACATCCATGTATAAATGTACATCTACTTCTTGATAAACAACATCTGCATGCTATATTGAAACCCCTACTTACAGATAAGCCACGTTGCTGTCGTCAACACGGATGGGTGGCACCTTTTCTTGTCCATAGTAACACTTGCTGTTGATAAAATCCAACTTGCAGCAGACTTGAGGATCAGGGCCACAGGAGAACGGTATAGCATAGGACAGGAAGGGCATCATGTGACACAGACTAGCTGTGGTGTGGGCCCGGTCTACAACAGGAGAAC